AGGCCGTGGGCTCTGAGTGCATGGCCGCTGGCGTCCCTATAACAGTCCATATAGCTCAACAACCAAGTCCGCATCACCTATAGCCTTGCCTGTAAATAATAACGACATAACGACGATTGTGCTGCTGACACCGTCCCTACTTTGACCATGGCAAATTTACTTACTTAGCTTTGACGGCAAACCAGAGATAGGACACCATTTCAACAAAACAAGCCTCATTCAGCCAACTCCTTAAATCTCTACAGCAGCAAGTAAGTCGGCCTGCCAAAGCACTTACCAGAACCTTCCAGCGGAAAAACCAAAGAGGCAGCAGCCACATCCTCGGGCGTTGTCTCTTCCGTCTCCTCCTCTACATGCGCCGCGACACTGGTGTGTACGCTCGCAGCTAAAGTGGACACACACACAGTCAATGCATGTATAGGTTAACATCAAAATCAACCTCAGCATTAGCCTTGTCCTTAAAAAAATAGTATCTACACACCGCAGCGGTATTAGGATATGGCTGAATTGGTGGCTTCTAATATCAACCCTAAATTTTAAAAAAACAATACTAATTCCTCCATCAACCAAACCCCTGTATGCGCCTATAGAAAATAAATTCCAACAGTGGTAAATGAGTAGGCGTGTGAAGCATTTACCAGAACCTTCCAGTACAGCCACTGACGCCGTCGCAGCAGCCACATCCGTAGACGCAGCTATTTCTCCGTCTTCCTCCTCTGCCTCCACATGACGTTCTTCACTCACTTGTACACTCTCACCTACAATAGACACATATTTAATGTACAAATATAGATCAACTACGAAGTCAGCACCAATTACAGGGGCTTGCGGTGTTACGGTCGAAACATACATAGGTCAGGCAGTCAGCCAACCGACATACCTTTACTGACAGCGATCGCCGCTGTCTCATCTTCAACGTCTGGACCAAGTACATCATCAGACGGAGGCGAAACACGCAGGCAACTGTCATCTGAAACAAAGCAACAGCATAGGTGTCTCAGCATTCATGAACAAGTAAAGTCACAATGCATCATTGTCAGTTCAGTGTCGGTTTATGGAGTAAACAAAATGGGTGAATGCTTGTTTTAGAAATTTAAAGCATTTGTTCCCCGGTACAAACTTAAACGGCAGGATTTACTGACATCAGTAAATTTCGTGACAGCTTCTCAGCTGTTACAGAAAGGACCTACAACTCAGCAAAACTCAGCTTCGTAAGTACTACTAAAAACATTCCAATAGAATCGGCAAAGGATGTCTTGCTATTGCACGCCACATCAGACTGTGTGTACGAATTCGCATTTTGTAGTCCAGCGCAACCGTCGCTTGCTTATATTGGAAATGTCATCACGGTCCTCTAGTGCCAAGCATCTGCTAGACAGCGATCATTCTATCGACGTCAAAACAGCGTTTCGAGCACTTGTTCAGGCCCGAACAAATCGAACCCTGCGCTATTTGGAAGCTGCCTACATACGGCGGGAATAACCTGACCTATACGAGCAGCTTGACCATGTGGTCAGCCTCCAAATACCCTGGTAATTGGTCACTTAATTTTAATCCCCAAGTGATTTTCGCTAACTTCCCTCAACTACTCCCCCTTCCTTTCTATACGTTGATTGAATGCAACGTCCTGTATCCTGTATCATTCTGTGAAATTTCAAACTGCTGTATGTTCTCCTCGTTATAGTCATCCTACAGCGACAAGATGCAGCTGAGAAGTTGTCACGAAATTTATTGATGTCAACAAATCCTGCTGTATACGCCTGTTTTAAAGAGGCAAATGCCTTTGCGCTTCCTATTGCTAACAAAGTGGCTAAAAAATGCATGGATAGAAAAGATGGCAAAAAATTCTTCAATTACATGCTTTTAAACGAAGAGAGAAAAGTAGGTCTGTATCAATATCAGCGCGCAGTCAAACACCTACTGATCAGCCGTCTGACAATTTCAGAAGTAAATTAACCTCCACAGAGCTTTCGAAGGTCGCTGGTATAGTGGCTCTAGGTTAGGCGTATACACCCACAACAATTGGAGTCACATTCAGCCCCCAGCATCATCATAGACCTTCATATCCTACTCAAAACCAAACACACGCACACACACACACACACACACACACTTCCTACAAAAGAAAGTGGATGACCCTTGGGGGTTGCTTTCACCCCTATCTTATTCTTGTCGACCAGCTGGCCACCCTGCTAAGCCATGCCATCCAGTTAGCTGGCTGACTGGCTGTTGACGGTCAACACGGCAGAAATGGCCAACCCAGGATCCCATGTCTTTTTTTGGTCCAACTTCTTCATGTGACAAACTTTTCCAAAGTAGGCTTCCAACCAAACTGTCCAAGGCATCAGACAACAAAATGAACCCCCTCCATCCAGCTTAATAAGTTACCTCAGTAGGCCTGTGAGCCGGCACTTACCAGAAACTCTCAGGTCAGCCACCGACACCACTTCCGGTGAGGCCGCCTCTTCGTTTTCTTTCACCTCCTTCTCCGCCTCGTTTATCGCATGACCGTCTGTACTGACGTGCATGCTCGTGGCTAAAACTGAAAGACATTCAAAATAAGATCAACTTCAGCAACGGCACCTTTGCCTGGAAATAGTAAGTCCCATGAGCCGACACTTACCGGAACCTTCCAGCTTAGCCGCCGACGCAGTCACCTCATTAGGCAA